ATCCAAAAATGATTATATTTTGAATATCTTAGACTACAGTGAAGATGATTTGTGATATTGTGATTTATACTAAGAAATATACATATTTGTCTTCATCTTGTTTCTGGAACAGAATCCTAATATCCTTGGAATTTCCTAAGCAATAAGAGCAAAGGGAGCATCTTTTGTATAATATTTGGTCTTTGTCCTCAGTTACTGAAACAGCTCCAGAGCCATACAGGTGAAAGGAGTATCTTGTTATTCATAACAAACCCCTTTCAACCACATCTGAGTTATGTTAATAAAGTGACTTTTGGAAAGCCCCTAAGGATGGGGCTGGTTGCCAGGGGAACCAACCATGTGATTAGAGGGTTGGAACTTTCAGCGCCCTGCTGAAAGTTTGGGGAGGGGGGAGGCTGGAGGTTAAAAATCACCAATGGCCAAGGATTTAATCAATCATGCCTACATAATGAAGCCTCTATAAAAATCCCAAAAGGATGGGGTTCGGAGAGCTTCCAGAATGGTAGACAAGAACACATCCATATGGTGGGGGGATGGCTCACCCCAAACTCCAAGGGGACAGGAAGCTCCTGTGCTCAGAACCCTTCTGCACTTCACCCTATGTATCTCTTCATCTGGCTGTTCATTTTTATCCTTTAATATCCTTTGTAATAAAACCAGTAATCTAGTAAGTAAACTGTTTTTCTGAGTTCTGTGAGCTGCCTCAGCATTTAAGCAAATCCAAGGAGGGCATCGTGGGAACCTCCTATGTACAGCCAGTAGGTCAGAAGCACAGGTAACAACCTGGACTGATAATTAGCATCTGTCCTCAGAAGAGGGAAGTCTTGTGAGACTGAACCCTTAACCTGTGGTATGTGACGCTATCTCTAGGTAGATCATGTTAGAAATGAGTTAAATTGTAGGACATCCAGCTGGTGTCACAGAATCGATGTGGGAAAAAGTACCACATGTTTGGTGATCAGAGGTGGCTGAAGTGAAGCAGAGTATTGAGAGTAGAGAAGACACACAGCATTGTGTTTTTCCATAAGAGATGTACTCGTAAAGCCACATTAAGATAACTTAAAAACTGATTCTCATGATGAAAAAAATATGGATGTAGAAGATACATTATTAAATGAAATTATTTCATGAATGTGAGGGTGCAAGAAAGGCAATATTATTACATTATTTCATATAAAATGTGATCTTTAAATATGTGGGTAGGTAAAACATTTTAAAAAGGCATTTAATTCTTTCATCCTTTTGGTCTTCTCATTGGAAATTAAGGACCCACCATATACACACATGGTTATACTTTTCGAATCACTTAATTTGTTCCTAGAAAGTAGTTTATTGGACTTTAGCATAAAGTATTTGTTTTAATTCTTTCAAAAAAGGGTCATTAAGAACCACATTAATTAAACATTTCCTTTTGATTTCTAAGATAGTTTTTTCCTTTGAGCTTTATGGCAACAATAACTGGCTTTGAAAAACGTAAACATATAGTCACTATTGTTGAAACAAATACCATTATCATGAAATCTCTTTATAATAAAATATCACGAGGTCCAAGCTTAGTTTGGATTATGACTAATAGAACAAACGAATTTGGGCAAATGTCTGGAATTTGTTATAACAAGACATGACACTTGCTTCTAATTGACCAACACAAGATCAAAGCATGCAAACTAGACGTGTCTGTGCTTAAAATAAATCAAGATCAAGTTAAAGGAAATGAGATGGGGCACTTAAAAATTAATATGTTTTCCATGGTTGAGCTTAATGAGAATTTGGGCCTGTTGAAGAATCGTGTAGAACTAGCATCCTCTCTTAGACTAGTGATAAGAGGTAATGTGGAATAGATAATAAACGTGAGGTGACAGCAGCCCCAGAGCACAAAGATGTGATTGCCTAGGCCTCTGAGATCCAAAACCACCCTCCTCTGGAACCCTGGGACCCAGTCTGCCTCCAGATACTTTATGCAGGGTTCTTCTCCAATCTGGCTTGTTACAAGAGAGGTACATGATCTAGTATCTAACAACTCCTTCTTTCCTCTCCCAGGGAAGAATAGGAGTAGTACAGAATTAAGAAGTTTCCAAAGATTAAAGAAAAGATGATCCATTATTGTGTCTTTTCTTCTGACTTTGGAGTCTAAGGTTCTAGTCACGGCATTTCTTTGTAGATCTGTGGGAAAGATGTTCACTTCCCTCCCAAGGGAAATAAAGTGGCAGCTGCCTCTTGGCCTCTGCCCCAGGTCCCCTTATAAGCAGGTTTTATAAGTCTGATGAAAAGTTTCAGCAAACGCACATGCACAAGTGCACACATACTCATACACAGTCTCACCCAGAAATCATCTATTTCTAGTGCCTTCATTCACATATGAGAACACTGAGACTTGGACAATCAGTGACTCATCCATGCAGCTTTGGCAGAATCAAGACAAGATCTCTCATCTTCCAGTTTCCATTCCAGTGTTCATTCCATTCCGTCACTCTGATAAATCATTCCTTCAAGTCCTCAGTATGAGTGACAACAGCTGCCTGCTGCAATAAACTTTTCTATTAACAAATAAACTCAAGTTGGAATGGATTCAAGTTTCCCCCCTCGGAACCCCAACATCTGAGAAAGACGACAGGGTTCTAAAGGGGGGAGCTAGGTAGGCTGGCAAGGTCTGTGTGCCTGTCTGTCTCTCTTGCTCTCTCAACCTCCCCATACTCAGACTTATGTGTGTTCATTTCAAGAGGCAGGGTAAGTGCTATCATTCCCAACCCACCTGATCTCCCAAACTTGGCTCACTTGGCATATGTACTGCTACTCATGCACAAAGCATGGTTTGATCCTAATGTGGCAGAAGGTTTTTTGAAAGTTCACACATTTCTTTGGTAGAAACTTATAAACAAATACTTAATTAAAACTATTATCCCTAGAAACAAAGAGAATCTTATCAAATTAATACATCTTAAAACACCAAAACTTGGCTAAGAGGTGTTTTTAATAATTGATCTCATAGGTCAATAAAAGAGCTATAAACACACAATTTACTCTTACCTCACAATTCTGAAACTTGTGTTGTTTTAAAGAAATGTCTAATGTTAACAGTTGCTCACTTAGTGGCTTTACAGGGAAATAGATAACAAGAACTAATCAATTATACCAAAGATTTTGGGTAGGTATAGGTAAGAGCACAGAATGCTAGAGGGGTGCATGAAATAAGAAAATGCCTAGTCCAAAAAAAAACTAAATAAAATCAAACTTACTCATCAACTACTTGGATTCTTTCTCCCTCTTTTGGATGAGAAGACTGGGTTGAATATGTTGGCTAAGAATGAATGTATGTCACATCGTTTGTGGGACTGAAAAGTAAACTCTTGGAAAGAGGAATTCACACCATGACTCAAGTCCCTTTTCTACTCCTCATCCTCACCTCAAGAAACTAGAAAACTTCATGAATAGGCCATTGAGTTAGTTAAAGCTAAGATCTTCCCCTCAATAGCATTAAACATCAAGGGTACAAGAGAAGAAGCAGTTTCTAATCTCTTTGGAGCATCACACTTTCATCTGCTAGATAAAAATAAGTCACAAACGAAGATCAGAAAACTGGATTCAAATTTTTAAGATAAACTAGTAGAAAGTAAATACAATGGACTAGGAAAGGAGGAGCAATATGGAAACTGGGTCAGACACAGAGTTTAACTTTAAACCAGAAATATGACTTAAAAGGTTAAGCATGGTTTACACCCTAACAACATAAACCATTCTTGGAATGGTTAATAGGAAATGTATAGGCTCAAGATAAAAACTGCCACAAACCCGATTTTAGGCATGGATCTGAAGATAGCTAATTGGGGATAAAACTCCCTCCACTTAAGAACTTAGGTAAAAATGCTATTTATCAGAGTAAAAGCATGTTAAACTGCTTGCATCAGAAGATGTAAATAACAGCAACCATGTCCCTCTGAGCTTAAGAAGCAGTGTGCGCACAGCGTTCCAGAACCAAGCTTGCATACCAGAGAAGCTTCTGTATCAAATCAATCTGAGAAATTTATACCACTCTGGTTCCACCACTAGCTGGGTGACCTTGGGAAAGTTACTTAAGTTAGAGTTTTAGTTTCTTATTCGTAAAACAGAAATTATTTTACCTATCTCACAGGGTTATTGTAAGTATTAGGTGAGACAATTTATAAGAAAGTATCCAATCCAACTCTTTTTATTGAGGGTGTTTTGTTGTTATTTTCTGTAAAGGCAATCCAAGTTCTTACCACTACAGTAGAAGAAGACAGGGCTAATCTTTAAAGGTTTTGTTGTTTGTTTTGTTTTAATCAAAGAACTGCCATGATAAAGAGCTGATCAAAGTTATTTATTGTAAAATTGAACATTATATTTATTGTAGACCTAACGGTGCTCATTGGATTATACAAATATGAGGATAAAGTATTAAAAATACGGTCTTTCTGTTTTTATATGGCAAAATTTTCTGTGTGCTCCTTTTTGGAAAGGGTATTTCCATCAGTTATAAACTCCTGCTCCAAATTATGTGGTAATTTAGATCAAGGTCATTACCAACCCAGATGACCAAACCTGAAAAATATTGTTCTCATGTCAGAGACCTTGAAGAAAGAATGCTCTAATGGGATTAAAATGCCTTGCAAAGAATTACGACACGAATAGCTCGAGAAATCTTAATTTGTAAAAGGTCACAGTAACAAAAAACATCGCTCATTTCAACTAATCAAATGAAATTTTAGTTAAACGGCACCTTAAATATTGGTATTGCAGCTGCGAGTGCATTTAAATAGCATTTACGCAGATATAATTAGCACAATTAAACATGGGTAGAAGTGGAAACACTATTCTTAATTATATTGATATAATCAGTTTTATTAATGCTTTATAGCAACAAAAGTGACATCTGACAGTAGCACACAATTCATGACTGAACCTAATATTAAGCATTTTAGCATATTAAGGAATCTAAAGCCAGGTAATTGGGGAAAGAAAGAAGTCAAATAAGAAGATCCTACCTGTGACGATACCATAGTTGGGAGGTTCAAGAATTACTCCATAAAACTGGATGATGTTTCTGTGACTGAGGACACTGAGGATTTCTGCCTGTACAAAAATCAAATACAAAATTGTATAAAATTTCACGTTTATAGAAGTCTTATAAAATAGGTTTCCTAGTCAATTCTCTTTTACATACATTTACAAAGACATATTGTGCTCAACAAGTAGGTGATGCTGATAAAACTCTGTCTTTAGTAGCATTCTTGAAATTTGAAGAATTTCTATTGAAACTTTCTGAAAATGTAAAAAGGAAATGGGGTTGAAGCGGCAACAAGAGGTGATTACTGGCGAGCCAGCATGACCGACAGTGGAGGAGGATGACTAAAGAGGGGAGATACCATATTTATTTACAGTAAAAGCCCTCTTCCTAATAGTCAGATATGTTTTTCCTGCATAGTGTCTCTTCTGGGAGACTGCAGCAAGACTGAACTTCTATCGGTTGGATGAATAGTCATGACAAAATTAAGACAGGGTTTCTTAACTATTACTTGAATAGATTCAGGTAATACCCAGTTTATATTATTTATCTAATCATTCATTCAAAATATATTATTGCTCTCATACCATATGCAAGGTACTGGAAAGGATATAAAGGTGGATTCTTGACCTTTGGTGGTGATTTGAGAGGGAAGCCATACGGTATTTACACTTTGAAATGTATTAAATACTAGAAAACTGTACTGCAGAAGTGACATGGTAAAAAATAGATCATATTTAATAAACTTAATTTTTAAAATGAAAAAACAGAGATACCACAGTGTATCTCCGCTAATATCTATAGAAAGATGTTCTCTAGATTAACTAAATCACATGTAGTCACTAAAATTCTATTACTTTTGTGGAGATAGAATATGACTAATCAAGAATTATAAATACAATTAGGTACACAATCGTGTAAGTTAAATATAAAAAAATTTAATATTTTTAAATGAAAGCCATGTTATTGGCAGTAAGTAAAGAGATTTATAAGTCCCCACTCCAGAAAGGGGATCATCAAGAAGAATGTCAGCAATTGAGGACAAATGGAGAAGCCTTGGTCAGAAAGGGGACTCCCTTTGGGAATCTGCACACTATGAATGTGTTGTTATCATATTTTTTCATAGGAAGAGTTGAGATTTCATTAAAAACACTGTAAAATTTGTTTTGAAGGTCAGATAACTAACTAGATAGAAAACAGAAGTTTGAGGGTTGGCATGGGGTCAATATGGAACCAAGAGAAAGGAAAATTATCATTGATGGGATGAGACATTTATCAAGCTTGATTTGACAATGTTTTTCTTTTGGTAATATAGATATTGAAGGGGGCTATCAGAACAATTCCTTCACACTCACTGAGTGTCTACTGTGTGTAGAAGTTCTGTGCTCATCAAGCAACCTTCCTCTCACAGTGTAGTTTTCCCAGTAGGAAGAAAATCACTAATTGGGTGATACAATTATTCGCCCGTATGGCAATTCTACTTCTCATTAAGAAATAATAAATGAACTTTGTTGTAAAAATAGAGTTTATGTGAAGTCTTGAAATCATAAGCACCCCCTATGTTTAAGTGGCAGATCAACTCTTTGTGAGTAAAGCATTAGAATTGAATGTGAGTAGAGCATTAATGTTTAGACCAGTACTTGCAAAAGAAAGGAGTGCTATCCTTTGGTACGTTTTGGTGTATTCTTTGGGGTATCTAAATTCTGTGACCATTAAAAATGTCTGTATTAATAAAGAATAAATACAAGAATCTTCTGAATCCTTGGATGACCATTTTATAATTCAGCACAACATGGATTTTCAGTGTTCCAGCTAATTTTCATATTTACATTTAAGATATCACCAAGTGATACCTCGGAGAGACAGAATTTATCTTTTCAAGTGTTTGCAAGCATGTCTAACAGCTCTTGGGTAGGCATATGCTAATGTCAAAATAACAACCATTACCTTGTGTCCCATTGTTGTGCTCATTTTTTAATTTTTTACACTTATGAAAACTATACTCGCAGTATAATTTGCAAGTAAAAGACATTTCTATGGAATAAGACTTTAGGTTCTAATTTAATAAACTAAGAATTTGATTTAACAACACGAAAACAACATACTACTTTAGAGTGCTGTTCTAGTTTCATGGAAATAGGCTAATAATAAACAGAGATAGACTAAATAAACAAGTGGTATCATGATGGCCAAGTGATATCATGATGTTAGCAATTCAAACAAGCTCCAACAGAAATAACAGTGGGATTAACCAAATGACTAAAACCTGTGCTGTAGCAGTCAGTATCTGATGGCAAGCTGATGTATTCTGTAGATTTGCCTTTATAAGCACCTGCTTGCCAACAGTTCATTAATGAAACAGTTGTAATAAATATGCAGTAATAATTTTTCTTTCTTTCTTTCTTTTTTTTTTTTTGGTGAGGAAGACCAGCCCTGAGCTAACATCCGATGCCAATCCTCCTCTTTTTTGCTAAGGAAGACTGGCCCTGGGCTAACATCCGTGCCCATCTTCCTCTACTTTATATGGGACGCCGCCACAGCATAGCCTAACAAGTGGTGCGTTGGTGAGTGCCCAGGATCCGAACCAGCGAACCCTGGGCCACTGCAGCGGAGCGCGCACACCTAACTGCTTGCGCCACCAGGTCAGCCCCAATAATTTTTCTCTCAATTTTGTTTTCATCATTTGTATTCTGGGATACTCTAGCAAATAGACTCTCCATCAAAATAATGGATTAGTGGTTTGAAAAAGTCCTTCCTGTTAAGAAAGGAAACATAATGATGAGGGCTAAAATAATGGTCCAGTGTGCCCCCAAAAATGTAAATATATCTTTTAACACTATTAAAATCAACAAAAGTCACTATATTTTCAGCAAATATAATTTGATGAAAATTGTTCATTTTAGTTGTATTGATTTTATGGTTTTATTTTTATTTAATTGAAAAATTGGTTTTGATTTTATGAGTTATAAGCATAAGGAGTTTATTTTTAATTTTATGTTTGTGTATACTTAAGTTACACTGAAATAATAATTTTAGTCAACAGTGGAAATCCAGATGACTTAATATTTCTATATAAAGAATCTATACATTTTTCAGTTTGCAAAACACTATTCTAGGGACTCAGATACTTGTACACTAATGTTTACTGTAGCATTTTTCACAATAGCCAATAGGTAGAAGCAACCCAAGTGTTCATCAGCTGATCAACAGATAAACAAAATGTGATATATAAATATGATGGAACATTATTTAGCCATAAAAAGGAATTGAGTTCTGATACATGCTACAATGCACATGAACCTTGAAAACATTATGCTAAGTGAATAAGCCAGACACAAAAGGACAAATATTGTATGATTCCACTTATATGACATATCTTGAATTGGCAAATTGAGAGATAAAAAAAGCAGATGAGAGATTACCAGAGGCTGGGGGAGGAAGGAATGGGGAGTTATCGCTTAATGTGTAGAGTGATAAAAAATTTTGGAAATAGTGGTGATGGTTGTACAACACTGTGAATGTAATTAATGCCACTGAATTGTACACTTAAATATGGTTAAAATGGCAAATTTTATGCTATACATATTTTACCACAATAAACAAAAGTTTTAAAAATGCTCTTCTAGACTTTGGGAGAGATGAATGATCACAGTGCATATACATATATACAAACAATAATCATCCCAAAGTTACACAACCCAAGGTCTAAATATCCTTTGGATAAACATGTAGTCTTCTAGATGAGGACTTGAGGATCTAAGCAAAACCTGTGACAAACTACAACAGTTTTAACTTAGGCTCAAAGACTCTAGAAAATAAAGGGTCCCAATATGATAGAGAAGTGGAGTGACCCCAGGTCTAGCCATAAAAATGTCTAATAGCAATGCCCTTATCAGAGTACAAACTGTCTTTGCAGATGTGTTTGCAGTAAGATCCGTGACTGCTCCTAGTGCTTCCAGCTGGGGCTGCTCCCCCCGCCACCCCCCCACCCCTTTCCTCCCTTCCTACTTCTTTTCTTCTTTCTTTATAGGAAAACTTACAGGGGTTTTCATTTGTTAACAGAGATGGGGAGGAGGTAGGTGTTTTGTTAGTTTTATTTTATCTGACATTTCTATACATTTATGTGGGGAGAGGAGCCATTAGCTCAGTTTGCTATGTTTCCAGAAGTTGATCAGCACACAGTTTTCCAAATGGCTGATTCAATCAGAGAGAACAGGAGAAGTCAAATATCATAATTTAACTAAATTTAAGTTTAAGGGAATTTAAGTTTTAATTCCGTTCCTTTAAAGTACTTCCAACGGCTTTAAAATAAGATGTTAAAATAATTAGTATCTTCATCTTCCCTTTGCCTCAATTCAAAATTTTTTTTTTCTATTTTGGCAAAATTGCCTTTTTAAAGAAATTGAGATATAACTGACATATTAGTTTCAAGTGTATAATATAATGATTCAATATTTGTATCTATTGTGACATGATCACCACAATAAGTCTAGTTAACATCTGTCACCTTACATAGTTACAAATTTTTTTTCTTGTGATGAGACCTTTTAAGATCTACTCTCTTAGCAACTTCCAACTATACAATACAGTATTATTAACTATAATCACTATACTGTACATTACATCCCCATGACTTATTTATTTTATAACTGGAAGTTTTTTCAACGTAATCCCAAATTTCAATTTGTTTCTTTAATTTTGGAGAGCTGCCATAGAATCCTTAAAGATTCTGCATTTTTAAAGCTTATTTTACATTTTTTATATTCTATTGATATAGCCTATATGTATTTATGTAATAAATATATTATAAATAAAAATTAGTTCACTTCCTTTTGTGAAAGAAAGTAAAGATACTGAGAGCACTCTATTGCTCTACTGTCTATGATCTATAGCCAGTAATCTAATGAAAGCAATAGTTTATGAAGACCCACATCACTAGGCTGGCAGGCTTCATTTACATCTTACATTAGGAACAGGACTTCGTCCCTGGTTGTCTACAGCTATTACCCTCTAATAGCAGCAGGATTGTGCCGCACAGGGTCCATCCTTCTGCCTGTGATGTGGTACT